TTGAAAGCACTATTGAGATGTTTTCAATTTACCTAAGTTGCCGTACTTCTCATAATTATTTCTTTGTGCTTACAAATAAATTTGGTATAATCGCTCCACTTAAATGCTTTATCTGTGAACGTAACGGTTAAAAGCCTAACGATGATTGCGTTTCAGCTTGCCGAACAGAAATTACTCCTGACGATATGGGCCTCACCTTCAGCAGGTTGAAATTTTCAACAGTTGAAATGCGTGATTATCTTTTGCAAGTAGGGAATGTTGGTCAGCCTAAGCCGGTAAGAACCTTTTTTCCCATTTCTGCTCCCTTTTATCTTTTTGTCTTCAATCTTATGCTGGCTGTATAACTGTTAATTTATATATTGAATCTTTATATTAAAGATGTGCCAATTTCCTATCCCCCATCCGAATGCTAGACCATTGTTTGCACCTCAGCCAAGCGCAAAGGAGCTTGAGGTCAGTAGCTTCAGAGCTGCCTTGTATATCCATCCTATCTCACTATCTTTTGTGCAACTTGCAGGATCGCCCTGCTCACATACCTTCCTTTTATCCAGCTGCCCATCCAGAATGGACAACTGATGGTAATAATCTGTTGTTTCATTGTGATTTTAACAGCTAACCAGCATTGCATGTTAGGTGCCGATTATCTCGCTGTTATGAAGCCCTCAACTTCAGTGGAGAAGAAAGGGTATGTTTATTTGATTTTATTGCTATGTTTCTTACATCACAATAGCTACTTTAGAGGTCCGGCGGATTTTCCTGACTTCGCAAAAATGGATGCAAAATCGTTGGGATTATTTCGGCGTTGTCATGAGGAGCCGTCTTTTTTGGATACCAGCAAAGATCACAGCTCAGCTACAGGTGCTTTTTTGACTATATGTCTTCGACCATGCCATATAGTTGCATGTTATGTCCTCTCGATCCTTTCATCTTAGTCGATCTTTCTAAATACTTTCTTCTTCCAACATGTTTTGGCTAGAATTTGCTCTTGTTTTGACTCATTTACCAAATGCTTAGACTATTTTCTACAGGAATTCAAAGCAGTGCGAATCTGTCTTCACTTAAACTCCAACAGGGCACTAGCAATGAATTGAATGTGAATACCTCAACTTTCCGAAAGAAGGGCAAAGGCAATAGTAGCCATGTGAGTTTTATTCTGCTTTTACGTTTAATATCTGTGGATTTCTGTGCTGTTTTCTTCTGAACTTTTTACGTTTATCATTTGTTTGTCCTAATTTCTATATAGAAGGATCTTCACGGCGTCTATCCCTCGTCTCCAGTACCTTCCCCCATATCAGCGCACTTCAAGCGCACAGAACAATCCACTAGTAGATCAGAGGTATAGAGGTGAATCCTGATTTGTCCCCGCTAAAATCCAAGTTTTAGTCGCCCTCATCGCGTTTAACTGTGACACTACCTCGCAAACAAGAAAAGCCACTGAAGTCAACGCCTACTAAGATAAAGAAGGTGAATAACGTAGTCATGGTAGTTGGCATAATCATGTTGACATCTTTCATGATTTTGGGTAAGGTCTTTATGTGAAAGCGTTTTAGGGTTTCGCAACCGATGTGGAAACTCCAAACTCTTCTCCAATGCCAAAGCTTGAAAGCCAAAATACAGGTTCATCACTTTCCGTCTAATCTCTTCATTTTATTTATTCCAATCTTTCTAGAATTTTTATCTTTTGCTGGCGTAATTATCTAAGCGTTTTTCCTTATTAATTCCTTGCCTATTTCTATCTTTGACGTTATCTACTTTGTAAGCTTTCTCATATGAAATGTTTCTGCCAA